CTGCACTGTCAGAGGTGCCATCACTTGGATGAGATATTAAACCAAGGCACTTTCTGCTGTCAAAACTGGAAGTCAAAAGTCCTGCTATTTTGATGGAGAGCAAGGGATATGTCCTCAGAGTCCTGATCAGCAATGCCACCTTAATCAACATCACTATAAACAGATTATACCCAGACCTTATCGCATTTCTGTTTGTGGGAATGTCCTGTGTATAAATTGGTTGCTGCCTTTCCAACATTATAATGGCAACTCAGCTTCATTGGCTGGAAGGTGCTCTGAGATCTCCACAGTTTGCGATATAAATATAAATCTTTCTTCCTCAATTTAAAGTCATTGAAGTGAGACAGCAGGATGTTTTGAAGGCAGCACAATGCAACAAATGTAAGAACATAAGAAATAGGAGCAGGAGCGGGCCATCTGGCCTCTCGAGCCTGCTCCGCCATTCAATAAGATCATGGCTGATCTTCTCATGGACTCAGCTCCACTTACCCACCCACTCACCATAACCCTTAATTCCTTACCTGTTCAAAAATCTATCTTTGCCTTAAAAACATTCAATGAGGTAGCCTCAGCTGCTTCACTGGGGAGGGAATTCCACAGATTCACAACCCTTTGGGTGAAGACGTTCATTCTCAATTCAGTCCTAAATCCGCTCCCCCTTATTTTGAGGCTATGCTCCCCCGTTCTAGTTTCACCTGCCAGTGGAAGCAACCTCCCTGCTTCTATCTTATCTATTCCCTTCATCATTTTATATGTTTCTATAAGATTCCCCTTCATTCTTCTAAATTCCAATGAGTATAATCCCAGTCAACTCAATTTCTCATCATAAGCCAACCCTTTGGAATCAACACATTAAGAAGTGGGATGCCTTACCATCAAGAGCAATGGAAGTGGTTTCCAAAAGCAAATTGGTTAAACACTTGGCAGTGGAAAATTTGAAAGGCTTTGAGGGTAGGATAAAGGAATGGGATAAAATAGATAAAACAAATTTTGATTAAGGCTTGCTGCATGTCAGGATCGCTGAATAAGTGGACAAAAAAATGTTTGGTTGTATCTGGCACACTAGCGAACAGATTTCCAACCCCGTCAGCTTTGGAGGATCAGTACAGTCAGGAATTCAATGGAATGAGCTGGCAGTGGTCAGAATCTAAGAGGTCAGAGTAGAAATGAAATCTCAAAGCAGAACTGTATGATGGACGGATAAAACTGGTCAAACTTGCGTTCTATCGTCAGGCATGCCAGATGCAGCTGACTTCCTTCCAGATCCCCTCCTGTTCTATAAATAGCTCATCTGTCTGTATTTAGGACACAAATGAATTTGGCCACTTTTCACCCGTGCCTTTTATTTCAGCGAAGGAGGAAGTTTTCGGAAACTCCCAGGTCCATGGTTGGCATGGAGCCCTCGGATTGCAACAGTCTTGGAAAATGTCTATTATTTTTCCCTGCAATTTTCTCCAGTTCTCAAAGCCACCGTCTCTTCGGGGTGGGGTGGAGAAAGAAAAGAGGAAGAATTGCCTTTGCATATCACCTTTCACATCCTCAGGATGCCCCCAGAGCTGCATACAAATATGTGATTTATGAAAAGGTGGGAGGCCATGTGGTTGCTTACATCATCTCTAATAACTTTTCACCTGCTTGTGTACCAAGAATCTATCTGTCTCTGCCTTAAAAAAAATTCAGAAACTTTGCTTCCAAAGAAGAGGAAGAGATTTTGAGAGACCCATAATCTTCTGAGAGAACTTTGCTATTTACTTGCTGTACCTGCAAAGTAACCTTTTGCTATCACCCAGAATCATCTACACCTCAGAGCTCTGCAATTTCTCACCATGTAGACAATATGCTTCTTTATTTATTTTTCCTGTCAAAATGGGCCAATTTCACATTTTCCCACATTATACGCAACATTGGGTGCAAACATCTGGACCTTTGTGATGTAAAGATAGCAGTAAGCCCTTGCTTCCTGGATACTGCGGTACTCTGTTTGGTGGTTGCTATCACAGTGTCGGTTGTGGTGGTAGAAATTATTTTCTGTTTGAGAATCTCATGAATAGTTTTGGGGTTTTGTGTCCAGCATTTTGGTAATGTTATACACTGAATGGTAGGGTCCTGGGGAGAGTTTTTGAACATAGAAACCTTGGGGTGCAGGATCACAGTTCCTTGAAAGGTGGAGTCATAGGTAGACAGGCTAGTAAAGAAGGTGTTCGGTACACTTGCCTTTATTGGTCAGTGCATTGAGTATAGGAGTTGGGACAACATTAGGAATTGCAACTGTACAGGACATTGGTTGGGCCACTTTTAGAATACTGCATTCAGTTCTGCTCTCCTGCTATAGGAAAGATGTTGTTAAACTTGAAAGGGTTCAGAAAAAGATTTACAAGGGTGTTGTCAGAGTTGGAGGGTTTCAGCAATAGGGAGAGGCTGAATAGGCAGCGGTTACTTTCCCTGGAGTGTCAGAGGTTGAGGAGTGACCTTATAGAGGTTTATAAAACCCTGAGGGGCATGGTTAGGGCGAATAGTCAAGGTCTTTTTCCCGGGGTAAGGGAGTCCAAAGCTAGAGAGCACAATTGAAGGTGAGAGGGGAAAGATATAAAAAGGACCTAAAGGGCAACTTTTCCATGCAGAAGGTGGTGTGTAATGGAATGAGCTGCCATAGGAAGTGGTGGAGGCTGGTACAATGACAAAATTTAAAAGGCATCTGGATGGGTACATAAATAGGAAGAGTTTCGAGGGATATGGGTCAAATGCTGGCAAATAGGACTGGATTAAATTAGGATATCTGGTCAGCATGGTCGAGTTGGATTGAAGGGTCTGCTTCTATGCTGTACATCTCTATGACCTTATAAGTAAAAATCTAATCCCCTGACTTTTAGCGACGACAAGAGATAGCAGCAGACGAAGCAAATTTGGAGAGTATCATCTGGATGTGACAGGTATTGATTTGAACCTGACCTGCAGTTCCTTTGAAGTCCTTAAACCCGTACAAGGCTGCTTTAATGATACAATGGGAGGTTCTGTTTTGAAGGAGTTGTTGGATTAGAACTGCCTCAGGGAAGGGAACATTATAGAATAAGATAACAATAAAAAGATGACCTTCACTCCATTGTGCCTACATGGGTTCATGGGAAAAGCTATTCAATTTGTCCCACTCCTTTTGCTCAGGTGGTCCCTGAGAACTCAAGCAGGACAAGAGCCCAATGGTGTTAAGTCATTCATTTTTACCAATGAGCTCTGCAATTCTAGGATCAAGGGGATGTCACCAATTGAGAAGGTGGGATGTACTAGTGCCAAGTTATTTTTGATTACAGTATAAATATTGTAGGCTAACTGTACTAAAAATTGATTCAGCTGAGCTGTCTTGGTCAATGACAATGCACCGTGAGGACCAAAAGATATCACTGGGTGAAAATCCTGAAATTTCCTCCACCCTGGTTGTACCTATACCACATGGTCTGCGAAGGTTCAAGAAGGCAGTTCACTATCACCTTCTCACCGGCAATCTGGGATGTGTAATAAATGTTGACCCAGCCAGCGACACCCATGAAACACTCACTTTGAAAAAACAAACTTGCCCGAAGCAACCATTTCATTGCAGCTTTTGAAATGATGAGAAAAGCTTGTATTTCCACAGCAGCTTTGCAACCACAGGCTGCGTCAATCTGCTTGACATCTGATGAAGTACTTCTCATATGTCATCACAGCTGAAAAGCAATCTGTGCAGTGGAAGAAATGCAACGGCCAGATTCAAATGCAACGGCCAGATTCTCTGGTTTAAGAATCGATAAATAAAATGCTGGAAATCACAAATAAAAACAGAAAATGCTAGAGAAACTCAGCAGGTCTGGCAGCATTCTGTGGAAACAGTTAACATTTTGAGCCTGCTATGACCTTTTTTTTTCAAAACTGGAGGAAGTGGAACCATACCAGACTCAAAACGTTAACTTTTGTTTCTCTCTCCACAGATACTGCCAGATCTGCTGAATTTCTCCAGCAATTTCTGTTGTTTTTTTCTGATTTAAGTGTCAGTTGGTGTGGACATCCAGGCCAGCAACCCAGGCTCCTCTTTGAAAGACAGTAACGGGATCTTCTATTGCTTTTAGGGTAGACAGGGCTTGAGTTTTACATCACAGCTAAAACCAGCAGGGCCCCACACCCTCAGAGCTGCACTGGAAATTAAAGACTGTAGATGGAACTTGAAAGTGAGCCACTCGACTGAGAGTGAACGGCTGACCAGACTAGCACTGAGTGCATCCTGCTTCCAACCCAAATGCGTACCTGACCATTGTGAGGTGCTTTGACCTGACGCTACCTAAATACAATACACCGCGAGGAATGGACAGGGCAAATGGAGAGGCCATTTTTCTCACTTCTCAAGGAGTCAAGGACAAGGAGGCCAGAATCTGAACATCACAGCTAAGCCTTTCAGAAGAGAAGTAAGCACATCTACACGCAAAGGGCGACAGAAATTCTAAACCCCTTTCCTCATAAAAAAGTGACTGGTGCTCAACCAATAACAGTCCACAATGCTGAGTGATGCCAACAGCGTGGGTTCAGTTCCTGCACTGACTAAGGTTACTATCAAGGTCCCACCTTTCATCCTTCCCTAAGGATGTGATAATCTTCAGGTTAAACTCACACAGGCTGTATGCAGTTAAAGAAAAAATGGAAAGTTTTTCTTGAATGAAGAGCTGCATTTTTCAGAGACCACAAAAAGGAACGATCTCCAATTGTATTTTAAAACCGCTCTTGACTTTGAAAGCAGTTCCAGAATAAAGAAAGTTGCAATTAAAGTTCTGGGTGTGGCTCCTCAGTTTAGGATAGTTGTGCCTACACATCACCTGTGCTGAGGAACCCCACACAGTAATGCATTTCTCTGAACACTATTGGTTGCATCTCTTTTTAAAGGCAGGACACAGACACACACACACACAAAATGCCTGTCAAAAGAGGATAAGACAGAGCAAGTAGGACCTGATCCAATTTTTAACCCTCACCTCCTCAGTCCAAACAGAAAAGATTAACTGCAGAGGCAGCTGAGAACTCCCACTATAGACACATCAAGGGGTGTGCAGTGCAGGGACAGGAAGAAACAAGGACTTCTGTCTCTGGGATTTTTGCGGACCCGGGGTGCACTTTCGTATGCCCTGCAACGCTTTTGCAGAGCCCGGGATTTGTAGGGACCGATTCTGGAGGCTTCAGGGACGCGGGGCTCTTTGCAAATCCGGATCAAGCCTCGGGGGCTATGTCTTAAATCGAAGCAGGTAACGTGGTCCGCAGATTCCTCAGCATTAATTGCTTTCTGCTTTGCGATCCAAATCACAGAGAGTGCAGGGCGATGCATCTGAGATAAACTGCGTTGAAAGTTACAGCAGGAAAGTTTAACAGCAACTCCTTTCATTGCAGCCACTGCGGATTTTTCCAACTGTGTTGTGTGAGCGCTTTCCTTCTGTTTGCTGAACGAATATCGAACAGGGTGGAAGTTGCCTAGCGTGTAAACAAATCATTGTTAAACTCTGGGAGTTTTATTTTTTTCAGGAAAAGCTCACTTAGTGTTCGGGTGGTGTTAACGTTTGCCCGGAGACAGTAGCTCTGAAGTTTACAACGAATTTTGCAAACCCCCCCCCCCCCCCACCCTCGACCAAATCTAGCCCTTGCTGTTGTAAAGTGGCATATTGGTTGCTTCTTGCAGGATTGCGGAAGTGCTGTACTGTCGGAGGCACAGTCATTTAGACAAGAATTTCATCCTAAAGTTCCTTAAAGATTCCATAACATGAATTGAAAGAAGAGTACAGTTCTTTCTGATGTCTTGGACCAATACTTATCCCTCTGTTAATATCATGACCATTGGAATCAAGGGTAGAATTAGGCCATTCAGCCCCTTTGTGCTAGCTCTGCTATTCAATAAGATCAGGACTGATGCAGTTGTGGCTCCAACCCCATTTTTCTCTCAACCCTCAAAGCCTTTAGCTCCCTTATAGCCATTCCAAAAGAAAGCTATTTTCAAAAACATTGAACAAGAACAATATTTTATGCGGTAAAATGAGAGAACTGTGGATGCTGAAGATCTGAAACAAAAGCAGAAACTCAGCAGGTCTGGCGGTATACGTGCAGAGAAAGCTGCCAAGACGCACCAGATTCAAAACATCAGCTCTGCTTTCTGTCTCCACCGATACAACTGACCTGCTGAGTTTCTCCAGCAATTTCTGTTTTTGCTTAATATTTTATGCAGCATCATTAATGCAAACATTGCAAGACAATGGATGCTGAATCGTGGAAGGAGAGATTGCAGGTTTTCAAACTATCGGCATCAGATTTGGGATTTGAAAACGTTTGTGAAGTTCAACAGTCAGGAATATATAGAGTTGGAATTTCAGTAAGGCACAGGAAGGAAGAGATAGGAAGATGGAGGGTTTTACAAATTGCTGGTATCAGAACAATGAAGCATTGGATATTTAAGCAATATAGAGGGTTTCTGGCTAAAGAGCAGGATTTTAGCTGCAATATAAAAACAGAAAGAACTGCGGATGCTGTAAATCAGAAACAAAAACAGAAATTGCTGGAAAAGCTCAGCAGGTCTGGCAGCATCTGTGAAGAGAAATCAGAGTTAGAAATCAGGAATTCTGAGGAAGGGTCACTGGACCTGAAACGTTAACTCTGATATCTCTTCACAGATGCTGTCAAGATCAAAATATAGTTGTTGAGCCTCTGTGTTTCATGGGAATCTCCTGGCAGTGGGCATGTAATATGAACATTTCTATACAGCTCCAACTACCGCATAGCTCGCTCTGTCGCTCCAACCCAGTTCTGTGACACCACGAGGTTGTTGCCACTGGTTTAACTTGTCTTTACTGATGCTGCATTGATTTGTCCTCATGGGTTAGTCTGACATGAGGTTTGGGACTTGGGTTTAATCTTGCACTGCAGACATTGCTCCCTGTGACTGTGCTGTCATCACTCCTTTTGTTCTCTGTCTTATTGACAGCGACTATGTCTGATATTCTGGAGTTCTAAATCATGCTTTTATTTACAGACTGTTATACTTCATACAGTCTCTTTCTCTGCCCCTGTCTCTCTGTCTTTGTCTCTCTCTCCTTCCTGCAATCTCTTTCTGTCCCCAGTCTGCCCCACTCTCTCCATCCTAGTCATTCTCTCCATCTCTCTCTCTTCTCCCCACCAGGCTTTCTTTTTCTCACCTCCTCTCTCTCTTGCTCACCCCCTCAGATTTTTTGTACTCACAGTCTCTCTCTCTGTCTATCTCTCCGTCAGCGTCTCTCTCTTTCTCCCTTACTCTCATTCAGTCTCTCTGTCTCCCCCACTCTCTTTCTCTCCCCAGTTTCTCTCTCTCTCTGACTCTGTCTTCCCCCCTCCACTCCGCAATCTGTATCTCTCTCTCCCGTTAGTCTGTCTCCCCCTCCCCAGTCTCTCTATCTCTCTCCTCCAGTCTTTTTCTCTCTCTCTCTCCCACACTGAGTTTCTGTTTCTCACTCTCCCCCAGATGCATGACATTTAGTTCCTCTCTCTCCTTCCAGTTTCTGTCTGTCCTCCAGTCTTTCTTTTTCTCTCTCCTCCCCACTCCCGCACTCTATATCTCTCTCTGCCAGTTTCTCTCTCTCCCACAGTCTCTCACTCTGTCTCCCCCCACACTCTGTATCTCTCTCTCCCAGTCTCTCTCTCTCCCCAGTCTCTCTCTCCTCTCTGCACTCTGTACCTCTCTCTTTCCCTTGAGTTTCTCTCTCCCTCCCAGTGTTGCTGTCTCTTCCAACCCCAGTCTCTCTCTCTCTCTCTCCCTCACAGAATCTCTCAGTTTCTCACTCTCCCCCCTCGTGTCGCTTGACTGCCTCTCTCCTGCAGTCTTTCTCTCTCCCCAGTCTTTGTTTGTCTCTCCCCCAGTCTCGCTCTCCCCCTCCTGCACTCTGTATCTCTCCCTTCCACAGTCTCTCTCTGTCCCCCAGTCTGTCTCTCTCCCCCAACACTCAGCCTCTCTCTCTCTCTATCCTCCAGTCCCTCTGTCTACCCCAGTCTCTCTCTACCTTCCAGTCTCTCTCTCTGCCCCCTGCACTCATTTCTCTCTCTTGCCAAGTCTCTCTGTCGCCTGCAGTCTCGCTGACTTCTCCAGTGTGTCTGTCTGTCTCTCTCTCCCCCTCTCCCTCTCCCCCCCGCAGTCTCTTTCTCTCTCCCTCCCTCTCTCTCTCCCCCCCCCCCCAGTCTCTTTCTTTTTCCTTCAGTCCCTCTCTCTCTCTCCCCCAACACTCAGTCTCTTGCTTTCAGTTTCTCACACTTATCCCAGTCTCTCTGTTTTGGTTCCATCCTTTGCCTGTTGATCTCATTCTGTCTCAGTTTTTCTCTCTCTCTTCTCCCATCTCTCTCATTCTCTCACTCTCTAATCTGTAGTACAGATTATTCAATCTTCTCATCTCAGGGTTTTGATCATGTACAGTTGCTGATGTTGGTGTTACATCATCTTCTCGTGTTATTAGCAATTCATGCTCATTGTGCGGAGAGGTCTCTGATTGGGGGAATGCATGATCCACTCCCCCTCCCCACCCCCTAGGTCCTCCACAATGTTCGGAATGGCAAGGAGCTGGATTGACCACAGGACCCAATGGGCACGACACCAGTTGGGGGTGGCGGTGAGGGCTGGTTTTGTGCGGTGGGTGATGGTTGGTGGTGGATTACAAGCGGCTGGAATGCTGGGAGGAGAGCGGAAGAGGGAGCGATGGAGTGGACTGAGTGCAGGAAGAGGGTGGGCACAACCACGCTGGAAGAGGGTCATGAGGTTGCCTGGAAAAGTCAGGGAACTGGGATTGGGAGTCAGGAGAGATGAGACATGGGATGAAGGGGACTGGGATAGAGCTTTAATGGGAGTGCATGAGTCAGCAATGCAGGAGAAAGGGAGACTGTAGCATGGTCTACATAGAGTTATTATAACATATTGACACAGTGGGGAGGTGATGGCCTAGTGCTGTTATCACTGGACTATTAATCCAGAGACCCAGGTAATGTTCTGGGGACCTCGGGTTGAATCCTGCCATTGGCAGATGGGGGGATTTGAATTCATTGAATCCATCTGGAATTAAGACACTAATGATGACCATGATACCATTGCTGATTGTCTGGATATGGGGACATCAGGTTGGCAGGAAGCAGACTAGGAGCCTAGGAGTAGAGGGAGACTGGGGAATGAGGGGCGGAGTGTGTCAGGGAGAGAAGAAGACTAGAAACTAGTGGTCAGGAGATGATGACCAAGTAGGGGAAGGGCGATACTGGGAGAATGGGGAATTTTGGTGAATAGCGTTAGGTAGCTGAACGCTTTGGTGGGAGGAGTAGAAGAGAACTGCAAGATCCGGAACCAGTGACATGATCGGCTGGGTTCGTTATAAAACTCTTTGCAAAATAAAATCCTGTAAAACCCTTCTGATGTTTGACATTTTATTGCTTTTCATCCTGTTTTGGTTAATTTGGCCAACACGTTTCCTGATCTGTATGAAGTTGGCCCAGAAAACACTGCTGATGGACAGAGAGCTCTCTGATTGGGGGATTTGTGACCCCCCCCCAGCCCTCCACAATGTTGGGAGTGGCAAGGAGCTAGATCAGCCTCAGCACCCAGTGGATACAGCACCAGCTGGGGTTGGCGGTGAGGGCTGGTTTTGTGTGGTTAGTGATGGTTGGTCGTGGATTAAAAGCAGCTGGAATGCTGGGAGGAGAATGGAAGAGGATGGGATGGAGTGGACTGAGTGCCAGAAGAGAGTGGGCACATCTGTAATTAGTTCTGTTTGTGGAATTGGTAACCTGGCATGGGAAGGCCAGATCACAGTGTTGTTCCCTTGTGGCCACATTAATTCAGGATGTGGTTTGGGTCTCAACTCAGTTCTGGAATAGCCAATGTCAAAACCATGCTGTTGCCCCACTGTATTGAATCCATAGTACTGACAGCAAAACTTGTATTCATTTAGCACCTTGAAACAGTGTCTTCAAGGTGGTTCAGGATCATTATTGACCAACCAAGCCACGGAAAGAGCTATTATTGTAGCATATTGGCACAGTGTGGAGGTGATGGCCTTGTGCTATTATTGTTGGGCTGCTAATCCAGAGGCCTGGGTAATGTTCTGGGGACCTTGGTGGAATTTGAATTCAGTAAAAATCCGGAATTAAGGGACTATTGATGATCATGATACCTGTGTCAATTGTCAGGGGGCGAAAAACCTGTCTGGCTCACTAATGTCCTTTAGGGAAGGATAGCAATGTTTGGTTGACTCTTAAC